AATATGGTCACAACTGTGTCACCTTCCTTCCCTTGACCCACAGGCAAAGTCCTGTCCTCCACAACGCCACTCCGTTCCATACACCATTCACAACCTTTAACTGCTCCCCCGATGCTAACAACAAATGGTCCTTCTCAATCGTTTTAGGCACAACACAGCTAGATGATGTTGCACTCAGAACACACTTGGATGGTCTAGCTGTTATGTCCGCTGCTCAGATAATACTTGAACATGCTCATCCCAGCAGCTTGAATAAACTATCAGGTCATCTATATAGCTTCCAACCCCCTCCATACCTGACAATAATTTCCTGATTCCCCGCACCAGAGTAGCTCCCGAATTTTTCATTCCAAATGGCATCTTTAAAAATTCATAAGTTCCATCGGGGGTGACAAATGCTGTCTTTGGTATATCTTCTCTAAGGTTCTCCCTTATCGCATATGGTGGTGAGTATGGCTTAGATCGTATTGGTGTATCAACAGTTTCGGCACAACCACTTGACGTACCGTCTTGCCTCCTGGAACTGAACGATCCCAGTGCACACGATATAGCAAGCCTCCATATACCTCGAACTCGGTTGTATGGTGCCCTCTCACTTCTGGTTCTCTCTTAATATAATACTTCTTCAACGATGTGTCTGCTTGCTGCATCTCGATCAATTTGTCTTTTGTTACATGTGCTCCAGTCTTTACATCACACACTTTGAGCGGCTTCACCTTACCAGATTTCTTCGCTTACGCTCTGGTTGTTACTGCTCCACTCACATTCCACACTGGATCCGGGTCATCTGGTGGTCTTGCTCCGGGCACATTCCCAACAATTAAATCATAGATTGGGTCCTGCACACATAATGCTTCAACCGTGCCTCTTAAATATGGCGTATCAATTTCCACCATGGCGACTGGAACCCTTCTTACAGTACGATCAACCATCAATATATGACCCATCTGTTTTGTATACTAGTCATCTGGTACCAAGCTCTTCTTGACTATAATGCCATTACACCCAGTGTCACAGCTGTGTCACCAACCTTCCCTTGACCCACAGGCAAAGTCCTGTCCTCCACAACACCACTTCGATCCATACATGCACCATTCACAACCTTTAACTGCTCCCCCAATGCCAACAACAAATGATCCTTCTCAGTCATTTTAGGCACACCACTGTCAATTTGAACAGCACAGCTAGCACTGATATTAGACTCCTCTTTAACCACTGCAGCTGCACCAGTAGTAGTGCTGGGTTTGACACTCTTTCTTTCTTGACCCCTGTGTTGTCCACTACGGCAGAACTTAGCCACATGTCCTATGGCACCACACTGAAGGCACTGTTCACCTTTTGTCATGGTTGACATCAGTAACACGGGATGGACATTGTCGCATATGACTTATGTACCACTTCCGTGTCACTGAGAATGTTCTAGAACCGTACTGTGTCTGGGTGGAATATTCTAGATTTTGTTTAGAAACTGGTTGAATAGGTAATAGAACACCGTAGGAGGCAATAGAAGGTAATGGAACATTCTAGAAATTTGTAGTAAGTTCCAGACTCATTATGTATGCTGATGTAATGGTCTATATATATAGGTATATATAGGGGAGTTGTTCAGCACTGAGATCAGATCGGAGATCTCGTTGAATTGTATTGGAGTTTAAGTATCTAGTTATTGGAGTAGTGGAGTTTTACCGCATTATTGTACTTGATGTTTGCAGAGTATAATAATACCAGTACCAGTTGAAACCTCATCTGTTGGCTCCGTGTTCGTATTTTATCATCGCCGCCAGGGAAGTCTTTCTGTTACTGTTGCCATTTTGGTATTTGAACCATCACACCTGT